CTAATGATACTAATGTGACAATTCCTCTTGACCTAAAACTGGGTAGGCTATGTATTTCCTCCTGCCAAGGAGTGATGTGGAAGAAGATTCTTGTTCATCCCGAAGCTTGATAACTTGTATTAAACACCTACTGATTGTCTTGTTAGGTTGTTAAAGGAAAATTCCTGCTAGCTACTCTCCCTGACTGAGTTAGTAATTACCTTGGAAGTCATGAGCTTTTGTTACTGAGATTCAATACTGTACTTTTAAAGTCAGGAAGGTGGTCCTCACAGTTGCATATGTATTCTGAGAAAATGTGAGGGCTAATCCTTCTTCAGTTAAGCGTGACATTCCAATTCCTAGGAGGAGCAACTGTCTCAAAATAACACGGTCAGTGTCACCAGTGTTGAGGCCTGCTAGACCTGCGCTGTGTTTTAGCCAGTAATTTGGCTGAATCTGAGATGTTTGCTCCATGCATTCCCCATGGTCATAAAAACAAGGAGTTTCCATATCCAACATTCCAACTGTTTCACGTTAACACTGTTGACCTTGATTTTCTCTGTGAAAGCTCATTGCTATGGAAGTCTCTTTGTGGTTGATCCGTGGCCTTTGACATAAACATAATTTCATATAAACTTATTTTGGGTAGTTTTAAGGGCTACATACCAAACCTACTGAAATGTATCCAGAAATAGAGATTATCTTACTTGGATTTTGAAGGATCTGTTATTGTATTGAATTTGCAGTACTCTGCATGATGACATCTTTTGTGTTTTGTCCTGGTCCTGAAAGTTGAAGGTGCATTACTGTTGCCCTGCCACAAAATTTCCAGGTAACTAAAACCTGTATGCGTATTGGTTGACATAGTTCAGTAAAGGTGTAAACATTAAAGCCAATGGGGGAATGCAGATTGCCAAAAAAACTGCTCATTTTATGAAGAAAATTTTATGAAGAACTGTCTAGGCTGTGGGAGAACAGCGGTGATGTTTAAGACTTCACTGTGAAAGTGATAAATAAAGTTCATGTTCTTGCTGTCTGAGGCTGTCAGACCCCATTAAACATGTTGCCATACTCCTTTTAAGATATTTCACCCTTGGTAAATGGACCAGCCCTTCATGTGATAGGTCAGGGAGTTAAACCTCAGCTGCTCTCACAGCTGTGTTCCAGCTCAGGGAGGTGATATCTTCTTTTGGGCTGTGTTGACAAGGCAGTAGTAGTAGTAGTAGTATCAAATCAGAAGGGCAGAGGATGCAGCTGATCAACCTCATCTCAGGTTGTACCTGGGCCAGAAGCAGAATGTCTACACCCCAATGTCTATCAGTCAGCATGGCTTGAAGTGTTCAGCATTTAGCAAAGCACATCCAGTCCAAGCAGCAGTTCCTCATCTCCTTCAGGAAAGCTGTCATGCTGGTCCTAGCCATTTCACCACCCCGATGGCTCTGAGGATCGCCTCTTGTGGGGTTTGTGGTGCTCTATAAGCGTTCACTGGGACTGACTTTTCTGTCATTTGTGTGTATCACCTTTCTTTTCCTGTTTTGTTTTGTTTTGTTTTGTTTTCCCACCCTGCCATCTGCAGGTTTCTAAATGAAACCTCACTGGTCCTGAGTTACAGTTTCTCTCCTGGCAAACAGATGCCTTGCACGTCTGCCTTTCCCATTTCCAGAGATACCAGCTGTGAATTAGCTTTTGTGTCTTTGTCCTATAAACGTCCCAACCTCCCTTCCCTCCCTGGTTGCTTTTCACCATGATTTCCAGCTGTTCAAGGATTTTCTGAGATCTCCAGCTGTGTTTGAATTGATATTTTGTTGGTTAGAAGGGCCCTGAAGTGCTGTGTGATGTCTTGATGGAGGCACAGCAGTTGGTTAGGCAACTGCACCACTTCCCCCATTCCCTTACGGCTTGGTTTTGCACTATGCTGCGTTGTCTCAGAACAATTCTGAACAGGCAACGTTTTGTCTTTTTATTAGGGCAGAGCCAGATTTCAGGCCTTCTCTGTTAGTTCCTGTTGATAAAATGGCATTTTGTGTCATTGATTCAGGCTGAGAGAGCTGGGGCTGTTTGGATGGGAAAAGGCTCTGGAGAGACCAAGAGCAGCGTATCAGTATCTAAAGGGGCTGTAAGAAAGAAGGGACAGACTCTTTAGCAGGCTCTGTGGTGAAAGGATAAGGAGAAATGGATTCAAATGAAAACAAAGGAGATTTAGACTGGATATAAGGAAGTTTTTTACACTAAGGGTGGTGAGGCACTGACACAGGTTGCCCAGTGGTAGATTCTCCATCTCTGGAGACACTCAAGGTCAGGCTGGCAGGGCTCTGAGCACCTGATCTAACTGTAATGCAGGGCAGTTGGACTCGGTGGCCTTTAAATTTTCAATTAGCTACCAGCAACTATTTTCAGTGCAATTTTTCTGCTGCAGAAAGGATTTCCCACAAGTTTCAGCTTGCAGGAACAACCCAATGCCTGCACCTATTTGCTGCCACACTACTGTAGTCACACTTTCAGCAGTAACTTAGCAAACTGTGAGATTGTGTGCAGTGATGGCAGGAGGATAACTTAGCTTCTTGAGCAGCATTTTGGGTTAAGCATGTTTTTCGTCACAGTTGCTTGGCTGCTTATACAACTGTACTTTTCAGGGATTGTATTATTGTTACTTTTTGTAAACTTTTTCACCATCTTCCTCTTCCCTTCCCTTCCCTTCCCTTCCCTTCCCTTCCCTTCCCTTCCCTGTATATCCTGGCTAAAAGCCTGAGGGAAATGTTTTTTTACTTAAAAGTTTACTCCTGTTCTGTTCAGACAACAAAAGTTTCTTGATTCACGATTTTCTTTTTTATGCAGTAAGATCATTAGCAGCCTTTTGGGTGCTTTTTGGAGGTGTTTTTTTCCAGTATTTAAATAAAAGTGTCTACTTTTGTTTCTGTGCACTGCAGCCTTGCTGTACTGCCCAGCACCATGGGTTATTTCATCTGTGGAGTCAGCAGAAATCCTGAATGAGGGTTTTCTTTGTTAACCTGCACTTCTGCTACAGGCTCAAGCAATTCTGCCGCAGCAAACCAAAAACAGAGAGGATCAGCCTCAAAAGTGGGGCAAGAGTGTTTAATAGGAGGGGGGAACATCTGGGAGAGGTGGAGCAGAGGGGCTGAGCTCCCAGCTCACCAGGGGAAGGCAGATCTTCAGCCATGTCTGTAGCCCCACAACGATGGAAGACGTCTGCATTGGGGAGCACAGCAAGTGCTGAGAGCAGGCAGCACTCCGGGGGCTCTCCACATGCCCATGCCCACTGCAGGCAGATGGTGTGCTGGTGGCACACAGCATGGGGCTGGTTCCTGACGGCAGACAGCCTTACCATCACCACCCCAAGGACTGCTAATTGCCAGCCCCAACGGCACCTCAGGGGACAGAGGCCGGAGGCCATTATGCAGTGATGGGAGAACAGGCTGCGCTCTACAAATGAGTTATGGGCTGATCTGGGGATTTTATGTTTCTACTCCGTAATGTCATACCACTTATTTTTCTGTAAATAAGGGATTTAAGTCCCTAAGGCTGTCAGTCCACCACTCCCAATGCATCAGTTTTGGCAAGTACAGTTAAAAAGAGGAAATTGCAGAGATCTTTTGCTTTTTTCTTAGAAGATGTTGTGTGTTTCTCTGCTGATGTTAGTACTAAATCAGGGTTACCTTAAGTTTAGATTTCTTGTTGCAAGGCAAGAACAACATCGTGGGCCAGGATTCCCAGAAAATGCTTACTTTGCCTTAGGATTGGACATCGGGACTGTGTTTTTTACACATTAACATTCAAGGAAGAATAAGGCACAGAGCAGTTGACCAGCAACACACCCAATGTGTGGGGATAGATACAAGCCAAGCAACTGGATGGGACACTTTGGCTTGCTGTCACAAAAAATGGTACCGTGGGATTTCTCGTTAGCATACATAGCTGGAAGTGAAATCTGAACTTCTTATGTGCAAACAGAAATAATCTTCTGCTTTATTTCTTTAGGAACTACAGTCAAACTTTTTAGAGAGAAGTTTGAAATTGATTGCTTGCATTTTGAAGGCATATTATTGAAGCTCTTGAGCACTTGTTGGTCTTGGATCCTTTTTTTTTTACAGTGTTTCTAACTGAAAATTATTAGTAATTCTGTTTACATTGCAGCTAAATTACTAATTAACTTTTCTCTCAGAGATTTTATTTGTGTATTTGTGCCAGCACAGTGCACTTTTTAACAATGCAGCAATTTATGTTTTTTTTACCACATGCCTCTCTATGCCCCTTAAAACCATATAAAGGAGTTTTAGAATTAATGAGCTGTCAAATCTCAGGTAATGAATGAAAAGAACCAGCACAAAATCCTGTCATTGTTTAAGAAATCCCAAATAATTAATGGCAAGAAGTGACAGAAGTTCTTCTATAATTTAAGAATAAATCCTTAATTGCATGACTGAAGAAACTTTAAAATATGTCTGCAAAAAAAAGCAGGGATATTGCTTAGTTGCTTAATTGCAGTTCAGTCTTCTTTTGAGTTACATAATTTGCAATTAAAAGATTTCCATTTCTGGGGAATCATTTGGGCCCGGTTTGGAAGGGACCTCAAGGATCATGAATCTCCAACCCCCCTCCACATGCAGGGCCACCAACCTCCACATCTAATACTCAACCAGGCTGCCCAGGGCCCCATCCAGCCTGGCCTGAATACCTCCAGGGATGGGGCATCCACAGCCTCTCTGGTCAGCTGTTCCAGCACCTCACCACTCTGTTGGAATAGGTTCCTCATCCACAACATTCATGTTCTACATTCATCTCAAGAGGAAAAACTTTCACCATTCCATCACAGGTACATTATAATTCTGCACTCAGCATGCCTATAGCTGGCATGTGTTGAATGTTACTTGTCACACAGAAGACCTTGTGAACTACAGGTTAGATTTGGAGAGGGAGGACTGTTTCCTTACGTTTTGCTGCACCAGCTGACAACATTCTGCTTTGCCTTCTCAGAGTAATGCCTTTGCTGCTGCTGTTTACAGGTGACCGTCTCAGATGGAGGCACATCTCCCAAGCAGTCCTCGGTTTGGGTGGTGGTCCAGGTTCTGGATGAGAATGACAACAAACCCCAGTTTCCAGAAAAAGTCTACCAGATCAAGTTGCCAGAGAGGGACCGTAAGAAAAGAGGGGAGCCAATCTACAGAGCTTTCGCTTTTGACAAAGATGAAGGCCCTAATGCAGAAATCTCATACAGCATTGTGGATGGAAATGATGATGGGAAATTTTTTATTGATCCCAAGACAGGGATGGTGTCTTCCAGAAAGCAGTTCACAGCAGGGAGCTATGACATCTTAACGGTAAGCGTGCTTCCATCAACATACAAATCCATGTGTGACTGACTTTAAAAACAGCTGTTGTTGTATGAAGAGTGATACATAACTATTTAATCTATGACTTATGTGTAAGATCTGAATGTATTATAAAATTTCTTATTCATGTAAAACTACAGACAAAAAGTACATTTGGAGATTGCTCAGGCTATTGCACACGCTGAATTATTCTCAGACTGCTCAGAATTAGCTTGCAGATTGTTGGCAGGAGTCATTCCCTCAAATGCACTAAACTGAAGACCAAAAGCTTGTGTTCTGACATGTTGAACTGGGCTGGTAAAGCTACAACTGAATATTCAGATTTTGTGTAGACCCAACTGCTTGTCCTCATGGAAGGATCCTTACATTGTTCATGTCTGGAAGTTTCAGGGAGGAGGAATACTAGGTTCTGTATGAAATAGTGCATTGGGATTTAAGGATGGGAGCAATTTCACTTAAAAGAAATAGTAGTCAAAGCAATTCTCAAGCCATGCAGGCAAGGTCAAAGACAATAAGAAGATGTAGTTGATAATATAAAGAAGTACCAGGCTTGCATGTGCACTCTTTGTCTACAGAAGTAAGCTGAAGTTGTACTTCTGTAGAGAAAGAGTATATATAAAGAGTCCATCAAAACTGTAGAAAATAGGGGACAGAAAGTTGTCAGAGGTTCGCAGTCAGACCACTGTAAAGGAAACAATGTCATTTACAGGTGTATGTTGGGAGACCTTCATAGAGGTGGAAACTATGATAGGAAAATAAAAGCATAGGTATCAAGATATTGAGGGATATTCAGATACTCAGAGGTCAGCACCCATCGGGTGCGTGCTTTTCTCTGTGCAGAGCTGGATGTGTGGGTTGTGGCCCTCTTTGTAATGTAACAGCTGCAGGTCTTCTACCTCAAAGCTCAGCTTCTTTCCCCTGTGGGCATTCCTGAGCAAGCAGGGTGATAAGCATTAGCACCAAGCCCACTTAACACATTTCCACAGAAAGAAATAGGCTATGGTATTTCAGGAAAATATTTCCCATTTTTAACAGGCGTAGTAACAGCATTTTTTATACACCAGCAGTCCCATATAGCCAGAAGCATTTACTTGAGTTTTAAAAGAAAAATCTTTCACACTCTTAGGGCATTGATATTATTCATTGAAGCACCCATTTTGTAACCTACTTTCGGCCTTGTCTTATCCCTCAGTTTGTCACTGGTCATCATCTCGTCTGTGCTGAAACCGTGAAGCATGTCAGGCAAATACCGAGTCTATCCATCTTTCTAGCATACATTGGAATATAAAGGATTAGAACCAAGATGGGCAGTGCTTGCAAACACAACTGAGAAGAGAAAGCAAGGACAATAGATACAGCTATTGTCCTAAAGCTATATCTTTGTTTTGAAAAATGGACAAAAGGATCTGGAGCATATTTGGCTCAGTATTGAAAATATTGATGAAAGTAATAAAAGGAATAGACATAGACCTAATGGAGCACGTCCAGAGGAGGGCCACAAAATTGTCCAAGGGATGGAACGCCTCTCCTATGAGGACAGGAAGAGACAATTGGGGACAGCCCTGGAGAAGGCAGCAAGGTGACCTGATAGCAGCCTTTCAGTATCTGGAGGGGAGTCACAGGAAAGAAGGGGGCAGACTCTCAAGCAGAATCTGTTGTGATAGAACAAGAGGAAGTAGCTTCAAGTTCAAAGAGGGTAGATTTAGGTTAGATACTAGGAAAAAATCTTTTACAGTGAGGGTGGTGAGGCACTGGAACAGGTTGCCTAGAGATGTGGTTGATGCCCCTTCCCTGGAGACTTTCAAGATGGGGCTGGATCAGGCTTTGGGCAACCTGATCCAGCTATGGTGTGCCTGTGCATTGCAGGGGAATTGGACTAGATGGCCTTCAGAGGTCCCTTCCAACTCTAAGGATTCTGTGATTCTATGATTCTAATCTCATCTGCAATACAGACACCAGTTAAAGCATTCAAACGTGGTCTGAGTGAGCATGTGTCATTAAATACATGGCTTAAAACACAAGGGCTTCATTAGCTGCAAGAGGAAACTGGTTGGAAGATGTCATCTTGGAAGGGAGGATCTCTATGTGGAGCGCATGTCCTGAAGGCCTCACATCAGCAGTTCTAAGTCAAAATATTGAAGTTTGAAACCAGACTTTTCAATGAAAAGTCAAAACGTAATTGAAAAAACTTGAGAACTGTGAAATAAGCATTTCTCTCCCTTTTTCTTACTTGAGTTTTACATAAAGGATTGGAAAGGCCATTTTAGGCATCTTCTTGGGATAGAATTAGGTCTGAAGTACCAAGGTGGAGTGCTCAGTCTGAGTCCTGTTTTCTCTACACCCACCAGATAAAAGCAGTGGACAACGGCCGGCCCCAAAAATCTTCGACTGCACGCCTCCATATCGAGTGGATCAAAAAGCCCACGCCCTCACCCGTGCCCCTGACTTTCGATGAACCCTTCTACAACTTCACCGTCATGGAAAGCGACAAAGTGACAGAAATTGTTGGGGTGGTTTCTGTGCAGCCATCCAACATCCCTCTCTGGTTTGACATTGTGGGTAAGTGGGGGAGCGGTGGTGTAGGGGAGAAGCTTGAGAAGCAACGCGTGTGGAGGGGGGGTGTTGAGAGTGAGACAACTAACCGTGAATTGTCCCCCCCCATTTAAAACCATTTTTGTAATGCTGATATGAAAATGCTATTTATACATGGTGTTAACAATAATATTCCTGCTTTTGTTATGACTCCTTAGCTAAGCTGAAAAAAGCGCTGTATGGCTGAATTGTTTTTTTTCAATGTATGTTATTTACTGCAATCTTAATGTTGTCTGTCATTTAAATTCTATTGTCATACTTTGCTAATCTCATTTCTAAATGTATTTATGGTACTTAGACTTGCTGTCCCTCATTTCTCTCTTTCTTCACCTTTTTTTCTGCATTCTGTTCTTTTTTTTCTGCTTCCGACTGCCCTGCTTCAAGGTGGCAAGCATGCTCGAGAGATGTTCTATATTCTACAGACAGCTTGTGGGCAGAACTGTTCAACAGAAGGTACCCTTAGTGCAAACACATTTGCTAAAATACAACTATCCAGGCTGCCTTTTATTTTTGCAAGTTCTATGAGACGATTTATATTACATCTTTCATAAGTGCCTGTGACAGGATGCAATGCGACACATGGATGTGCTGTGTTTCTTTCTATGACAGCTTTTACCGTATTTGTGTCCAATTATTATCATTCTTATTCACGGATTTTCCGCAGTTTATCACAAATAATTAATTCCAACTTTTCACAGTCCAGTGCCATCCATTTAACTGTGAAACAGAATGGGATGCATCGACATATGGGTTACAAATGGAGCCACCAAAAGTTTGTCTTGAATGCGAGCTGAAAAAGAGAAATGTGTTTTGATGTGAGATTTCAACCACAAAATTGCCTCACGTAAAATTGCTCACAGAAACAGGGAGGGAGAAATACACTTAGCAAAGAGGAGGAGAAGCCACAGAAGCAGTGTTATTAAAATCACAGGGAAACGCAGTTAAGGATGTCGCTGCCACAAAAACATGGAATAGAAGTTCTCGCTTGGTTGCAGCGAGGAAACAGGAATCGATAATCCTAAGCATTGCTTCCCTACTTCTGCTAGTTCAGTTATGTCATTTAAAATAACTCATTCGACATCTCCAAAATGAGGCTTTTCCCAACAGCCTTGCAAAGTTGCTGTGGTATTTTAGTATTTGCTGATACTTGTAGGTAATGCCTGTGTGTCTTTGGACGTCAAACACTGCATCTGCTCAAAGTGGTGTTATTTAAATGAAGGGTTATAAAGCAAACACTGTATGAAAGATTAGAGACAAAAGCCTTTGCCACAGACTTAGTGAAAAGGGTGCATCAGCAGTCTCTGTTTACAGGGATTGAGCCCAGCTTCCATTTCTGCACAGCTATTTGCGGATGGGTTTAGCCAACAGGAAGGGCAGGGACCGCAAGAGAAAGGCTCTGTCAGAGTCGTTTTCATCCACCTTTTATTGCCAATTTGTGCAGATGAAAGGCAGAAGCAGCTGCATTTCCTCTTTGAATTTGTATCAAGGTTTCAGGTGCCAACTGCATTAAAATTAAACCCAAAGCTATTATCATGTTGTGGGGCTCCTGCTAGCCTCTGGGGAAGGACAGCATATGTTTCCTACTGTTTCCCTTCCACTCCCTTGGCTATTTCAGTATGCTATGTGCAATTTATTAGCTAATGTTTACATTCCCTTTTTCTTCCTTGCTGACCCCAGCTTTCCTCCCAGGAGAAGTCTGTGTTTATTGACATTATTGACAATTTTTTTCCCATTTGAACCTTTTGCTGCCCTCTACAGCCTTTTGGTCTTTTCCTTAGTGAATTCACCAACTCTCATTAAAATGCTGCCTGTGTTAAGCACCGAGAGAAGCCCCCATTCTTCAGCTGCCTTCTTTTATGTTGTTAGTCTCATTTGCAATCTAGCAACACCTTATAATAACATTTCATGTTTGCCTCCTAAACAGAGATGATGGGGAGGACATTCTTAACTTAAGACCTTTAATTTTGTCCCTGAATGTAACCTTTATGGCGAAAATAGTTCAAAATGGTCTAGAAGATTTTGGCTATTCAGACAATCCTAATGGTTTCTTTACAGCGTCAAGGAGACATTGCTCCCCTAGACTTAATGAGAAGTTGATGACCCCAGCCATCCAGTTCAGTGCTGTTACCATATGGATGTTGTCATTAAATATCACTGCTGTTATTACCAGCAGCATTAGCAACTCCCTATTTCCGCAATAGGAACAGCCAGCAATCCCAGGTATGCAGGAGACTTGGTTGTTCAGGCATACAGGCTGCAAAGACAAAGTCTGTCCTGAGAGGATTACAGACAGCGATGCATGTTTAGGTTATGTTTGCTGCCTTCAATCAGTGTCAGTTTTAAGAGCTCTTCTTGTTCTGCAATACCAGCGTGTAGGAGGAGAGATGTTGATACTTTCCTTTTGGGGGAACGTGAGGAATTTGTCACTGTGAGGGCAGTGAGGCCGTGGCAGAGGCCGCCCAGAGAGCTGTGGTGCCTCATCCCTGGAGGTGCCCCAGGCCAGGCTGGATGGGGCCCTGAGCAGCCTGAGCTGGTAAGTGGTGTCCCTGCCTATTGAGGTCTCTTCCAATCCAAACCATTCTGTGATTCTTTGATTCTGATACTGATGTCTAGTGCCCAAAAGTCCCATGAAAGGTGTAGGTTAGTTGTGGAAAATGGAAAGCTGTTCAGGACTGCTGATGCAACAGAGGATTTTAGCGCTGCTGTCAAACCTAGACTTGATCCTGCTACATCTGGTGTTTTGTGATTTTGGACCTCTGTGCACAGTTCACAGTAATGTCAACAGAAGCCATGAAGGCTTATCTAGAGGCATGATTTAATATAGAGTTTGCAGGTTGACCTTTATTTTTATGACCTTTTCAAACTAAATGGGCATTGGAATTTGAGAGGACCTTTTTTATAATGCATAATATACACTTTCTTTGAGCTCAAGAGGAAAGGGAGCCTGAAGATTAGGTTTTCTAGGATTCTGTCTGCCTAACTTCAGCATGTTGCACCTAAAGTGTATGCTCCTAAAATAACTGCTTCAGCTCCTGAGCTAATCTAAGATAAGGAAGATGCCTTGAGTGCAGAGAGATCATCTTCCCTTGATAGATTAGAGAGGATGGGGATCTAGTTGTTATTTGTTGGGAATGGTTGAGATGTCACACTTGGTTTCTGTTTTCAGAATGCATTCAACGCCATTCTCAGTTCATGTAGATCACACAGTGTGGAAGACATGAATGCAGGTTGTTTCAATTGTGTTAAATTTATTCACTCATTTATGAGATAGATAAAAAATGATAAAAGAAGCTCCAAAAATACGTCACAAGATATTTATTTCTCACAGGTAAATTGAGCCCTCTGTCTTTTCCTTCCTTTGTTAGTGGTGGGAATGGTGTGATGATTACTTTGACCATTGGAGCTCAGCTGCATGGTGCTAGTTTTTGCTTACATAGCATGTTGCACAACATCTCTCTGATTCTCCAAAAACACCTCCCTCTATTGTTCTTTCTTCCCCAGCCAAACGTTAAAAACAAATCCAGACTTTTTTATCAAAGGTGCTTAAGTGGCAATAATTTTAGGAGCTAATAATTTTAGTTAATTGTCCATATAATTCACAGTTCTGCAAATGTTCATTGATATCAAAGCTGTGTATGTCGTGAGCCTCCTTTGAATTATCTCCTCTGAGAACTAACTAAAATACCTTCTGATTTCTTTTCTGCTTTTTTTTGCCCGTACCTTCAGCTTCTTAGCAGCAAACCCAAAGCTTTGACTCTCCTTGCAATAGCTTTATCTTTCTGAAAATTTGCACTCTGCAGTATTCTGTTCTTCTGAGCTTGATACATTATATAAAATAATAAATCTTTGCATGTATTGTTACTAATATGTATTATGCCATGATTAAGAAAAGTCTGTAGTTGAGTTAATATTTCTTGAGGCAATCAATATGTTTGTTTGGTATTTTAGCAAACAGAAACATTTGAAATCTGACCCTTTTTTCTTTTCCTGGAAATCCTTGATGTACTTCAGACGTTCTTGAGAGTCAGGACGAATTTGCCTTCTGTATTTTCCTCTGATTCTCTGCTCTGAGCAAAGAAGAATTGTAGCAATTGGTCCAATTTATCATCACCGTTCTTGGTGATGTTAGTTTACTATGGGGCAAGACAAGTAAGAATTCTTTCTGCTTTGAGAAAATCTGTTCTGGAGCATTGTTCTCTAAATTGCATTGTCTCCTGTATTTCTCTTTGCCTCCACTCTTCGATCATGGAAAGCCAAATGACACTTGTGTGAAGAACACAATATATCCTATTTTTTTGAAGTTTGGGCAAATGACTTCCATGTTCTTTGCTATCTGTCAATGAAGGAAGAGTCCAGATTTCAAGATGTCCTGCAGAATTCAGTCTAATTAGTCTTGGCATCTGAGACCCGACAATTCTGAACATTCACAGACATCTGACATTCCTTAGGTGTATATTCAATCCCACTCTTCTGAATCATTCCACTGGAAAAGAGGTGAAAAGGCCCTTAGAAGAGACTCATGTGCCTGTGAGTCCTCCAGATTTGCAGATATGTTTTCATCTCTGAGGAGAAAATCATTTCTCCCAGCAGGATAATCCTGTCTAAAACTGCGTATCAGCAGCTAATAGAAACATAAATAGGCTCAGCGTCATACCAGAAATGAACTCCATCTAGAAGGAGCGCTACAAGAAAACACTGTTGCTTGCAGCAAATACAATAATCAAAATACAAGCAGACTGTGCATGAAAATTAAACATATTCTGAAATTCAAAAAGGACAGAAATGTATCTGCACCGTATCTTGCCATAGGCAAATTTGCCAGTTGATGTCAAGAAGTCCCTTTTAACAGCTCAGAAGGCTTTTCTTGGCCTGGCCATTACACCAGGTGTGTAGTAAACTTCACATCAGAAGATCCTATCTGCTAGTCATGTAAGATTTTATACCATTTTTTTCTTAGCCGTCTCCTTTTATAAAAGGAAAATTAATTATTTCTATCTTTCAGTATTTTTTTTTTTCAGAAGAGAAGTAGGTTCATGGTGGCTATGAAGCTAAGACATGAGCTAAGAATCAAGGTGGCATTTCACATTCAGAAAATTTAATCAAAGCTATTCTGTACTAAGGGCACAACTTATAGACTGTTGAATCAGAAGTGTCCAGATTCCATTTCTTGAGACCACCTCTTTGCCAATACTATGGCATCTCCCAGACTGAGAATCAGGGCTGTGAAAATAATGAAGCTTTAGCAAGGGTCAACAAATAAGGTCTTTTGTACCAGGGGCTGTTTCTGCAGCCATCCCAAGTTTGACAGCATCTGGAATTGGCTAGAGTTATATTGGAAAATGCTATATAAGTGACAACATGCTTTCAGATAGCATAAAAATCTCCTGGTTATGGAAAATTAATGCTTTCACAGTTTATTGAAGAGCATAAAGACCAATCTCAAAAAAGTAAGGGTGGAAATCATTTCATTTCACTTTAGGTGTCCAAAGTGAAGACATAAATATCTGCATTAGCTCTCCTTGGGAATCTTAACAGTCAATTAGAGAGACAGAACACTTTCTGGATTAATTTATGCCATCCAAACACAACATGTATTCTCACCCAAAGGTGACACTGGAACTAGATGGGACTTTTTTTCCACTCTGAGAGTTTCAGTTTTTTAGGGTATTGAAAGGGAAGTCTTTAATATAATGTACCAACATTACATCTTAGCTGGCAGTGCTACTGCAAACAACAGCTAATTCACATCTTTCTTAGGTCATTCAGTGTCAAAGTGCTTTCTCAGATCAACCTGATTACCCACTTTGCCATTTCATTTAACTTGCCTTCTTTGTCGTTGACTTTCCCAAAGTGTCCAAGGAACTTACAGTACTTTGTCTTCATTTGAATTATTTCTTTCCTAATGCAATTGCGAGCACATTAGCAAAGACAGCTTACACATATCTTGTATCCAAAAGCAGGTTTTGCAAGACAATGGAAAGGAAAGCATGTACCACATACTACAAAATGGAATAAGTAATACAAGTTCACATTAATAGTACTGAGCAGATAAACAAAATTTTGTCATCCTTAGCCTGCTTCCAAGACTGTGATCAATCAAAGAAAATGTGAAATGGCCTGTAGTAATGTTATTGAAACCAATACTGCTTGAGTTTATATGTAAATAATGCAAATAAACTCCCTTCAAAATGATTTGGAGTTGCATGACAGCATGATTTTGAAAATTCAGGTACCTCAGAAATGTGTGAAGCTGCCAACTCCTCAGCTCTCACTAGCTCCAGACTCAGCCCTCCATCCTCCATGTGAGCACCCTTTGGAAGGAAGTTGTTTCAAGTGGAGTTCCCAGATTAGTTCAGCTGCACAAATTTTTAATAGAAAAGTCCTGTTTGTTTTTGTATGACTCTTCTCACTCTGTACCCTTCCAGCACCCATCTTTCAAAGGTAACTCTGTTGGGGACTTGGTAACAGGCCTGATGTAGGCTTTACATAGCCTACATCTATGTAGGCTATATGTGCCTTCTTTTGGCACATATGACTAAACTTATATCAAATTCAGTAATTATTCTTCAGTGCTTCAGAGGCATTCATTATCTGAGGTACTGTTGTGAGGCCATATGAAGGCTGAGAAGCAGTACGGAGTATTTCCAGGCCACATTTAGCAGGTGAGGAGCAGAACCAATATCCCAGGGAACATGAGAACTTATTCCTAGAAATTCAAGCACTGACTTCTTCATTGTCAACAGCTAACCATGGTCCATTGAAATGTACCAGGTAAATCAAAAATAAATCAGGATTTCACTCCAGAAGAGATCATAGCCACAAATCTCACAGATGAGTTCTTTGCCTCTTCTCTGTCTTAGCGTTTGATGCAGTTTCTGCATTACTTAATAGAAAATGAATCAATATGAATTAAAGTGCATGGGCTAGTTCGTTACAAGTACAGGCCAAAGTGGTATGGCTTGTGAACAAGATTTATTTGCTCGTCATTAGACTGATCTGGGAGATGCCTATGCCATGTAAAAAGCTCTTATGCTGTATTCAATTCATAATTTATGGGAAGAGTATTCTGCATTTAGGGAAGATATCTTGAAGAAGTTGGGTTATTTGCAACACAAATGTGTGCTGTCCTGCACAACCTGCAGTAATCCAACAGAGGAAAGGAATTTATAACATTGATTATTAATCCTTCTCTTTTACTTCTTGGAATTTCTAAAGGCAGGGTTTCTTTGGATGTGTATGCCAGTTGACAGCATATAATTTTTGACTGCTCATTAAGATGATTATTAAGCATCTTGAAGTAAGGGCTTTCATTTTGTTTTCATGGTTATCAGTATGAAACATTCTCTTTGTAAAGTGCCTACTGTCCCAAGGCTAGCTTCGTTTCAACAGAGATTTCCTCGCAAGAATCTGAAATTCACTTCTTCAAAGAAAGCTTTTTTCAGAGTTGGTTTTCATGGCTCTGTTTTTCTCAAGTAAATCAATTTAAAACTTTTCTTGGAAGCTGGCATCCTTTTCTTGCGAACTTAAAAAAAAAAGAAGAAAGAAAATCTGAACGTATGATCAATGTCCAAATACCTTGGTATTGCTTAAGTGTCAAGAACAATTACATTTTCTTTCTAGTGTCAAATAGTGTTAAGTATATATATCAATTGAAAAAAACAATGCAATTTGGGCTTGCAGGAGGAGTTTAGGGAATAAGCAGTGTTTCTATCCGCCATAAATCACAGCAGATCCAGTGTCAGTGTTTTCCTGGAGAACCACAACAGCATCTGTTAGGCTCAGAGCTATAAATATGCATGCACAGATATTCAGCACAGGGAAACCTGATGTCGAGTCTGAAATTATCATGTTTAGATTTTTTTCAAAGGGCAGAAGTTCACCAGTTCTTCCTTTCCTTTGCATAGATCACATGTTCTCATATTCCTTCTCCCTCTTTCTTCTTGCCTTCCCTGAGTGCATTCCCAGGCAGTCCAGGACAAAGCAATGCTTCCATCTTGCACTTTCTGTGCAGTAACTTGTGCCAGAGGGAAAGAGGAATGAGAATTTCTCTGTGTTATGGAATTTAGGGTGAATTCATCCTGTTCCCCTGCAGTGATCCCCCTATATCTTCAGCTTCTTGGAAAGTCCACGCCCTTCTTCCCTCTCTAAATGCATGGCTGTGTCTGTGTTCGTGAATGTTCTGGCTGTGGATCAGCACATCATGCAGATGCAGGACTTGATGGCAGAGGAGGGAAAACTATCCCCTCCACTTCTTTGTTTCCAGCCTGAAAGTGAAAGCTATTTTGTCCTAATATAAGAATTGATTTTATTTATTTATTTATTTATTTATATGCATCTTGTAGAAGGACTATGTCAGTGGACCAGATGTCTTTGTACCTGTGGATCTAATGCAAAGAGATCTGAGCAGCTCCTGCACAAGATCTTAGCCAGAGGGATCTGACAGCACTTTGCAGGACTGAGCTGTCAGTCCGTAGCTTTTGTCATTGCATTGCTCTGTGATGAATACACCTGAAGAGTTCATTTGTCAGCAGTGTTACGTTCCACCTCTCCCTGTCCCCAGCCCCCCAGAATTTCAAACTCACTGTAAATTCCACTTTGGAGTGGAGTGGGGAGGAAGCAGCTTAGCAGTAGGGAGTGTGCTACTTACTTCTGAACATAATGAGCAGTTGTAATCTGTAAACTATAGCTGTGGCTGAGAAATCTTGTAACCCTTTAATCTCAAATTATTTATGGCTCTGTCTTACTTTTTAATAGATTTTTTTCTTCTTTTTTTTTCTTCTTTTTTCTTTCACCTAAAACTCAGGAGGGTTTTTTCACTGCTGCATCAGTCAGTGTGTGACAGCATAAGGGGATATTAGTTTCAGAACAGTGCTTTGTGAGGGTTTTTTTTTAATGGAGAGGAATTCATGATGTGTGTCCTGTCCGATCTATTTAAATAATTCCTAAAAGACCAGTAGAATGTGACCTTTGCTGCCAGTAATTTTCGTTGTCCTTGAAATTAACATAACAAATCTCTATTTGCATTTTATAATTTTGTTGTAATATTTAAAGGCTCAGTCTTCACATCCACGGGCATCAATGAGAATTCCCTGAAAATAAAATTTGTGGAATAGAACTCTCTTAAAATGGTTTTTATTCAAAAAGATTATTGTGCTTATTCATTACGCAGACTGCAAGGGCAACATCTTATGGGCTTATAGCCATTGCATTCTTTTTATAGACTCAGTTATGGTTCACTTAAATATACTGCTAGATTTTTTTTCTTGCAGTGCATTTTAATGATATCTGCTTTCCAGTGTACAAACTGTGCTTTGAAATATAAATGAGTTACAAACAAAGACGTATCAGTGGATGTATTGTGTGTGCTAAGGCAAGCCATTAAGATGGATGCCAGCAAACATATATATGCCCACTTTTAGGAACATTTGCAATGGAAATTTTCCAGAGATGGCTAATTTAATTGTATTTTTGTGCAACAATTAGGAGGGAATTACGATAGTTCCTTCGACGCAGAGAAGGGAGTGGGCACTATTGTCATTGCAAAGCCCTTGGATGCAGAGCAGCGCTCAATATATAATATGACTGTGGAGGTCACCGACGGAACAAACACTGCCACGACCCAGGTAGAATATCACCTTCCTTTTCTGACAAGTTTTTCGTTTGTTAGTGAAATATATATGCTATTAATAATCTTGCTACTGAGCTAAAACCTCATCCTTTGAGACCACTGTTAACTAATGGAGGGATATTTTTCAGAGCCTTTCCATCTGGTTGTAAAGAATGGGCTGGTGAATGCTTCAAAGCGGTATTTCTCCTTTTGTCCTCTTCGTGCTCACATGAAAGTAATTTGCCTTCCTCCAGCTGAGGGAGTCCCCGTCTCTGTTGGCACTGATAGATTTTGACAATTGTATCACCCCATAATTGTCCAAAGTACAACTGTACTTCTGTGATGCTGGGGAATATTGCTATTGATTGTATTAAATGGAGTTTATGCCTCTCATCCTCCCAAGACCCAAATGTGGGACACAAGATCAATTGTTCAGAGACAGAATTGCTCAGCGAGGACACTTAAAATTTAAAGAATATCTCTTTAGTGTCACTGCCTGTGATTACGTTGTCTTTCTAGGGACAGCCATAGTCAAGCCTTTCAAACCAAACTTGCTGATCAGGGTCAGTTCCTTTCAGGAATTAATAGGATAGATCAGGTAAGTATGAAGGGCAGGAGTAACACTGACTCTTCACATCACTGCTGGGGAGATCGTGATGCACAGTCTGGGTGTCTGCATGGTAGGAAACAATCTAGCGGAGGTAGTTGGTACATTTGCTCATTTTGCCCACTGGACCTGGTGAGGGTGATGGAACCCATACACGGTTTGAGTTGTGGAGCAGGGGTTTGCTAGATCCTGAAATCCTACACCAAAATTAGTGTCCAAGTGTAAAGTGAGCTATAACCTGAATGTTGTTTGTCACAGGAAAAAATGCACAGTAATACAGGACACCTGTGTGCAGCCTCAAATCCCAGGTTAAATATGGCCTATAGAGGAAGTAAAATAATAGATTTGTGATGTTACTTGTTTCATGATAATGCAGAAGGAAGGCCTGAATGTTTTTTATTTGTGTGTATAGATATATACGTACACATGTGGATTCTTCTTTTTACCTTGCCTTTTTGCTCAACATTCGGATATAAATCTGTATTCACTGAATCACAACAGTAACATTCCTATGAGACTGGAAAATCATTGACTGCTTTCTGAATCCAAATTCTTGTTTGTCACCAGGCTTAAAATCTCTATCTAATTATCCCTATCCTATAACTTCTCTTGATAATCCACTCTTGATAAGAAACATCAGTTGATGGTAAGTTAAGTGGTGGGAAATCTACTATTTTCCCTGCTAGTTTAAGTAATTAATTGCCTCTCAACTGAAAACATTCCTTATTTTTTAACTTGATTATATCTGACCTGTATTCCCTGTTATGCCTTTCTCTACTCGATTAAAGAGCTCTTTAAAAACCCGTATTTTCTCCCTGGGAAGGCACTTACTCAGAGCAGTCAATTCACCTCCCAGTCTTCTGGCAGACAGGCAAAGGAGAATGACTGACCTCCTTACGTTCTCTTTCCATAAGGCATTTTCTTCAGCCCCCGAGTAACCTTTTGTTTTGCTTTGTTTATTTCAATCTTGGTGACATTTTCAGTCCGCATTTCAGAAGCGGAGCGTTGAATCGCTAACACCACTTTGTGCAAACATTTCTGCCAAACAAATGTTACAAAGCAGGAGGACTTTCAAACAGGCTGGATGCAGATGATTTGTATTTGCATGAGTATTATGTTTCTTGTTTTAGTTGCTTATGATTTAACAAAATGACCCCTGTGACAATCCTCAAAACCTGTTTTGATGAAAACCCATTATTTTTAATTAAAACATATGGTAAAAACATATTTTAGTAAAGCTGCTGCATTCTAAAAGAAGCCAAAGCATTCTTCATAACAGTGATGTGACCTACTTAAAAGCTTTAAGATAATGATTTAAGATTGCAGTATCATAGCATTTGATTATCAGTGATGGGTCCAAACCCTTCTCCCCATTTCCTTCTCTCTATGTAGATACTTAGTGGATTTAATTGTGGCCCAAGCAGTATCTGAGAATGTGTTTCTTTTGCTGTTCACAACAGAGATTTCAAAAACAGTCAGTATCTCAAGCCTGTCAGAATGTTGGCCTGCTTAATTATCTCTCCACAATACTAAATTTTCCTACTTTACTTCTGACTGTTCTTCGGAGCCTTTGGTGACTTTGTTCATTTTCATTTCATTTCAGAACAATAATAAAATACTGAAAAGTAATGTATGTCATAGAAAGTGTATAAATAGCATCTGCTCATGGCTGTTGGTGGCCTTGTTCTGATTTCTGGTAAGATGACACAGGAAGTGTTTTGTCTTGTGTGCAGTAGTACCTGCATTTTGAACTATAGCTGCAAAAGGATAAAGAATTAGAGAACTGTTTGAGTTAGAACTGATCCTTAAAGGTCATCTAATCCAACTCTCCTGCAATGAACAGGGACACCTACAGCTAGAGCAGGTGCTCAGAGCCCCATCCCGCCTGATGAATATGATGGAAGAGGAAGGGAGATGAAGGCAAATGGGTGAATTCATCCACTTGTACAACGTAAAATAATAAAAAGTCCCTCCAAAGTGATGTGGTTCATTGTGAAACAGCCGATCAGCAGTGTGCCAAGTGGAACAGTCTTGCTTATTATTCCACTCCACCTGTTCCCCTTTATCTCTTTCTGGCCTTTTGTCTGGTACACAGTTGGAGGTGGTAAAATACAGCATAAAAATGCCAAAGATTTTTGCTTGGGTAACACGATCCCTGGCATGGCCTCACATAAGTTTCTGCAGCAATGCTCCTGCACGCCTCGAATCCTGATAAACTGTTGGCTTCCTTCATGCCTTACTGCACACATGGTTCGCTGCTCTGCCATCAGAGGAAGGAAATCATTTTGATTTAAAAGCTACATCTGTTGTATTAACAGTTTGCTGTTGTGAAAAGAGGTGAAAAGAACATAAGGAATGTTTGAAAAAAAATCCTAAACTTCGTTTGTAACTGAAGGTGGTTTTGGTTTGGAAGTGATGAGCATTGCAGAACTGCAAACTCCTAAGTGAGAATTATAGCACCAGGATGCTCTGAGCCATTGCCACTCACCGCGCCCAGTGGTACGCAGTGGTGATAGGGAGGGATGGAGAGCAAAATAGGCAGAAATGTTGCCTCATTTGATATCTGTATTATTTGTATATGTAACAATTTACATACATATTTTTATACCTAAGTATTAGCATATTTATATATATTTACATATAAATGTATTATAAATTAAGTCAGGAATAAGCCCAGGAGAGCTTTTGTTTTCATTCCCCCTCAGCTTAATTCATCATTGCTCAAGGCTGCGTGGTTATTTATGAAAGGCTGAATGCATACGTTGGCTTTAAATCCCTTAGATACATGATTCCCACAGCTGCCAGGCGAGCTGCTGGCCATGGGGAGGGGATGGGGCTTCTCCCAGGCACTGGTAAAAATGGGGACAGCATCTCTTGGTGTAGCCATGAGATTGGCTAACTCAGCCAGACTACTGTCTGACTTTAAGTAGCATCAGATATTCCCTAGGTCATAACTTAGGTTTGTACCAAAATCCTTTTTCTTTTTTTTAAATTCATTGAACTCAATGAAGCTCAAGTCCTTTACTTTCAAGCACAGCATAGTAGTAATGTTTATTTCTTTATAATGTATACTGCTAAACTACCTACAGAAGTACACCAGGAAACAATCATCTAAGTGATGATGTTTTTCACTTTAATGGATAATTTTGTACAAGCAGGCAATTATTTTTTGAAGAACAAACTCCTGGAGTCATAGCATTATATAAAAAAAAAGGCATTTTTCTTTTTCTTTCTTACTTATTTTCTTACCTCCTTGTTTCTCATCATTCTAACTGCCATAAAAAGATGCTTTAAAGCATGAAGCCTAATGCTTCAAAGCTAGAAGGAAAAAAGTGCTTTAGCTGCACTTACTCTGAAGCCATCCCACTGTTTTACCTGCTAGAGAAAGTTTTCTTTGTAAGACTTGATCAGGCTCTGCAATAGGTTGCCCAAAAAGGCAGTGGATGTCCCTGGAGACACTCGAGGTCAGGCTGGATGGGGCAGTGAGCACCTGATCTAGCTGTAGGTGTCTCTGTTCATTGCAGAGTCCGTTGTTGGACGAGATGGCCTTTAAGGGCCTTTAAGTGTCCCTTCCAACACAAACGATTCTGTGATTTTAAGTTATGTTATGTTTATGTTAACACTGAGAAACTGGTCAGTCACAGCTGATGAGGGTGGGTGTTTTTGCCAAACAGTGAAAAGTTCTTCTTAGCAGACTGTGGCCAATGTGCAGACAAGATATGACAAGATATGTGTGGGTGAGGGGCATTTGTACAATTACATTTGTTCCTTTGGAGGATCTGCAGCTATCAAACTTCAGAAAATCCAACCAGACCTTCAGAAAAGTCAAAAATGAGCATCGTTGCCTGCACCTTTCCAGCAGAGTGGGAGTATGCCAAGATGTTGGCTGTCCCTGAGCAAATTGCTCCCCTGAAGTCAGACAGTGTGGATTGTGGAGCCTTTGAGAACTGACAAGATGTGGTGTTTCCAGTTAGTTTTTCACGTTTGCTCAGATGAATGTTTTTCTAAACTAGAACCAGACAAGTAGGATGAGAGGGAATGGCCTTATGTTGCACCAGAGCAGGTTCAGGTTGGATATTAGGAGAAATTTCTTCTCAGAAAGAGTGGTGAGGCAGTGGCACAGGCTGCCCAGGGAGGTGGTGGAGTCACTGTCTCAGGAGGTGTTCAAGAAGCATGGATGTGGTATGGAAGGCCATGGTTTTGATGGCATTATTGGCGGTAGGTGGACAGTTGGTCTCGATGGTCTTTATGATTCTGTGACTCAATACTGTGCTTTTTTTTCTGCCCTTTCCAGCCATCTCAGCACTGCCTTGCCTATGAAACAAAGACTTTTTCCCCTCTTTTAACATAACACAAAGGAACATGGTGAAGTATAAATAACAGGCCATTGAGGTTTGCAGATAAACTGT